TATAAGGTTTAAAATGAAATAGTATATATTTTTCTCTCTTTTAACATACGAATTATTCAAAAGTGTGAGTAACAACATATATTGATTGTTTTGCATTTGACTTCAGTCATTTCCCCCATATTTGTATAGTAAATCCTTGATTTGGCTCTTGTGTAGCACTTTGTATCCAGCCTCAACACCATCAACTTTCTGTTAATGTTTCATCTACTCACCATCTGATTTCTCCCCCAATACATTAAATTCTTCAACTGAGGGAAAAGTCACATAACATAAGATTGACTGTTTTAACCATTTTAAAGTATCTGACTCAGCACCACTTAGTACATTTGCAGTGTTTTCCAATCACCACCTCTGTCTAGTTCCAAAACATTTTCACCATCCTCATAGGTAACCTCATTCTCATGCAGCATCCATTCATTGTTCTTTCCTCCCTTTCTCTGGCTCTGGCAACCACTAATCTGTTTTATGTTTTTGTGTTAGCATGTTCTGGATTTTTCATATAAATGGAATCATACAATGTGTGACCCTTCCCCCCATCCCCCCAAAATACATTTTTATTGGTTTCAGAGAGGAAGGGAGAGGAGAGAGAGAGAGATAGAAACATCAATGATGAGTGAGAATCATGGATCGGCTGCCTCCTGCACTCCCCCTACTGGGGATCGAGCCCTCAACCTGGTCATGTGCCCTTGACCGGAATTGAACCTGGGACCCTTCAGTCCGCAGGCCGACGGTCTCTCCACTGAGCCAAACTGGCTAGGATGCCATATGTGACTTTTTAAATCTGACTTCTTTCAGAGGTTCATCCATGTTGTAGCATGTTTCACTATTTTATTCCTTTTTTGGCTGAATAACCTTAAAGCCTCCTTTGATGAGTGTAAATATCTTTATTCTTATTTGATGTTAGTAATAGGAACTAGAATATTAGGATAATTTTATTCTAATAAAATTAGAAATTTGATGATTATAAAACGACCTTTCAAAAAAAATTACCTTTCATACATCCTTTTAGAATTACTGGTGATGACATCTGAATTGAAGCCATTAACTTAGTTGAATTCATGGGATAGCTGAGTCAACAAATTGCTTCACCAACCTCACTGAGTCAAATGCTTAGTTCACTTCTTATGTTCCAATTCAAATCACACACAGCCCTAAGAGATTAGACAGAATATTTATTCTCTTATTACACACTAGAGGACCAGTGCATGAAATTCATTCACTCAGGATGGGGGGCATCTCTCAGCCTGGCCTGCACCCTCTCGCAGTCTGGGAGCCCTCAGGGGATGTCAGACTGATGTTCCATGCGGACCTAAGCCATCAGTTGGACATCCTTAGTGCTGCCATGGAGGTGGGAGAGGCTCCCGCCACCACTGCTGTGCTTGCCAGCCCTGAGCCCGGCTCAGAGCTTCTGGCTGAGCGGCACTCCCCCTGTGGGAGTGCACGGACCACCAGGGGGCAGCTCCTGCATTGAGCATCTGTACCCTGGTGGTCCGAGCGCATCATAGCAACTGGTGGTTCTGCTGTTGGGTCAATTTGCATAATGGCCTTTTATTATATAGGATGGTTTCAGGAGAGACTGAAGTAACAAGGATGAAGGAAGTAGGTAGTACTAAGAATATTTTCATACAAAGGAAATCATAAATTTTTAGGTCCTTTCTTGTTTTTAAAACAAAATGTGGAAATGCTTCTAACATTTTTTTAAATGTGTAGAGGTGGAATTTATTAACCATATGCTACTGTAAACACTCTCCAAATAGTCAATGTTTTGATACTACTGATTAGAAGCGTTATCATCATGGAGTTATTTTCTGAATTCTATGGATGTGAAATCCAGAATTGAATAATCCATATTACCTTAAAAAGCACCTAAGCTTTAAAAATGACAAATAACCAACCTTCTAAAATCATTGGCGACTAAATAATCTGTCAATACTTGCTTACTCTTTTATAGAATATTTTTATATTGAGAAATTAACCATTAAATTCTATTGAAAATTCTATTGACTTATTTCCCTCATCCTATGCAGAAACCGATTTCAGATGAACTTTTTCCTGTTGGTTTTTTTTTTTTTTTTTAACTTTTATTAGTATTTACATTATGTTGAATTTACTCCGGGGCCATAAGTTTTTGTTTCTTCAGTTTCCTCTGGTTTATCGTTTTCTTCTGTACAACCTCTTCTTCTGGTTTAGGAAATCACCTGCTCTTTTTCAGTAGGGATCCTCTCAGTGTGGCAGGGAGCTCATGTGTGTGGTAATCTTCCTATGAGCTCTGTAAGTTCTACCCCAAGTCTTGGGGGCTTAGTTCACCTGGATGTGCTCAATGACCAGAGAATCTACATCTAAACCCTTAAATTCAGCTTTATGCTCTGCATTTTTAAGAACGTACAGCAAAAATTTAGTTTTTTTGGCCCATTGTTTGGCCTCTGCACACCTACCAACGCCACCATTTTAACAATGAAATGGTACACATTGCTTCTGTAAAGTGACATCTTTCAGATACTTGGTGGCTTTTCCAATATGCATACTCTTTGATGGCTTGGGCAGTTTCATGAGTGCTTTTTGTTTGGTTTTAAAAATACATATATTTTTATTGATTACAGAGAGGAAAGTTGAAGGAAAGAGAGATAGAAACATTAATGGTGAGAGAGAATCATTGATCAGTTGCCTCCTGCACACCCCCCACTGGGGATCAAGCCCACAATCCAGGCATTTGCCCTGACTGGGAATCAAACCGTGACCTTCTGGTTCATAGGTGGATACTCAACCATTGAGACACACTGGCTAGGCCAGCCGTGGGCAAACTACGGCCCGCGGGCCGGATCCGACCCATTTGAAATGAATAAAACTAAAAAAATAAAAAGACCATACCCTTTTATGTAATGATGTTTACTTTGAATTGATATTAGTTCACACAAACACTCCATCCATGCTTTTGTTCCGGCCCTCCGGTCCAGTTTAAGAACCCATTGTGGCCCTCGAGTCAAAAAGTTTGCCCACCCCTCGGCTAGGCTCACCAGAGTGCTTTTAAAGTGAACATGAAGATTTGAACTTTTTGATTTGCATGGTTTTGTGGAGTTTTCTGGATCAAGTGATTAGCAAACCATTTTCAGAGGTCACCTCTGGCCACTTTCAGGGACAGCACTCTCCCATCCACCCCACCCCCCCAACATTCTTTATGTGTTTTTCATGCTCTGATTTAAAAAATACACTTAAAATGTGTTTTTAGCCCTGGTGGCTCAGTTGGTTGAGGGGTGTCCCATACACCAAAAGTTCACTGACTTCCAATTCCTGGTCAGGGCACATGCCTGGGCTGTGGGCTCTATCCTTGGTGTGGGGCAAGCAAGAGGCAGCTAATGGGTGTTTCTCTCTCTTTTCCCCCCCTTCCCTCCTCTCTCTCTAAAATTAATAAAAACATTTAAAGAATGTGTTTTTAAATCATTGATATTTGTATTATTGGAATGTAAGTTTAACTGGAGAGCGTTAAAATTGAAACTCTATAATAGCCAGTGGTTCTCAACCTTCCTAATGCCACGACCCTTTAATACAGTTCCTCATGTTGTGACCCCCAACCATAAAATTATTTTCGTTGCTACTTCATAACTGTAATTTTGCTACTGTTATGAATCATAATGTAAATATCTGATATGCAGGATGTATTTTTTTTAATACATATTTTATTGATTTTTTTACAGAGAGGAAGGGAGAGGGATAGAGAGTTAGAAACATCGATGAGAGAGAAACATCCATCAGCTGCCTCCTGCACACTCCCTACTGGGGATGTGCCCGCAACCAAGGTACATGCCCTTGATCAGATTCAAACTTGGGACCCTTGAGTCCGCAGGCTGATGCTCTATCCACTGAGCCAAACCGGTTAGGGCTAGGATGTATTTTCATTGTTACAAATTGAACATAATTAAAGCCTAGTGATTAATCACAAAAACAATATGTAATTATATATGTGTTTTCCGATGGTCTTAGGCGACTCCTGTGAAAGGGTTGTTCGACTCGCCAAAGGGGTCGCTACCCACAGGTTGAGAACCGCTGCTATAAGCTCTTAACAGTTTTTCTATTCAGATGTTAGCTTAATGCTGCTTATATAAATAAGTAAATATACATACTGAGAATTTCTGTGGTAGGTCCTTGGAGCCTGAAATTAGATGTATGTACTTGTAGTATTCATATGAAATAGGATAGTTGATTCCTCCTTCTACACTATTCTTAGGAAATTTAAAAGGACAAAAGTCAGGTCTTAAGATTTTTTTAGTAATAAAATGGGGTCTTATGATAAACCTAAAATGATTTGGTATACTATCAAACATCTAATGAAAACTTTATTTAAAAAATTTGAACAGTTTTCTCCGGCTGGTGTGACTTAATGGTTGAACGTCAACCTATGAACCAGGAGGTCAGGTTTCCATTCCCGGTTAGGGCACATGTCTGGGTTGTGGGCTCGAACCCCAGGGGAGGTGTCCAGGAGGCAGCTGATCAATGATCTCTCTCATTGATGTTTCTATCTCTCTCTCCCTCTCCCTTCCTCTCTGAAACCAATTATATATATAAAGATGTGAACAGTTCTCAGTGATTTTGTGGGGTTTTCTGGATGAAGTGATTAGCAAGCCATTTTCAGAGGTCACTTCTGGCCACTTTCAGGGAAAGCGTTCTCCCATCCCCGTATTCTGCCCCCTGCCCCCATTTGCCCACCCCACATACGCATAGCACACAACCACTCTAACTCAACCCAGGCTGTTATCAATTGTGGTTTTCCTTCCATCAGGCTGAATTTTACAGCTGGTGCTTAATATTAACACTTATGCTATGAATTGGCCCTTTTCAAATGAGCATCTGGGTTCTGCCATTAAATCTAATAGTTCATTTTGTAAATGGATTGACTAAAAGCTACAAATGAAACATATTAGAAAAAGGAAGATAAGTAAAAATGTTCATTTGAAAATGTTTTCAGTGCTGATTTTTGTAGTGAAAGTACTTTTTCCATACCCCAGTGTCCTAGAGCGAAAACATCACCATGGCTACAGAAATTGGTTCTCCTCCTCGTTTTTTCCATATGCCAAGGTTCCAACATCAGGCACCTCGACAACTGTTTTATAAGCGACCTGATTTTGCACAGCAGCAAGCAATGCAGCAGCTTACTTTTGATGGAAAACGAATGAGAAAAGCAGTAAACCGAAAAACGATAGACTATAATCCGTCTGTAATTAAGTATTTGGAGGTAAGTCCAGATCATGTGCTTCATGTGACCAAACTTCGTTTTTTTACAAAGGAGAAAGTTTTTTAAAATAATAAAATGGTAATAATTATAGTTGTATTGCTTAAAGTACTGGGATTTTAAGTGCAGCCAGTCACTAGTATTAAAAAAAAAAGCTACATTAATTATCTTCACAAAAATTATTAATGTTAGAAATAGGTTTTGTTCTAAAGGTTCAGAACAAATCTCTGAAGAGGATACTTTGACCCAGGGGTGGGCAAACTTTTTGACTTGAGGGCCACAATGGGTTCTTAAACTGGACGGGAGGGCCAGAACAAAAGCATGGATGGAGTGTTTGTGTGAACTAATATAAATTCAAAGTAAACATCATTACATAAAAGGGTACGGTCTTTTTTTTTTTTTTTTTAGTTTTATTCATTTCAAACGGGCTGGATCCGGGCCGTAGTTTGCCCACGGCTGCTCTCATCCCTAGGCCAGCATTGAAATACTTGATAAACCCACAGAATACATGAAATATTAAAAAGATTTCCAACTTAGGAATTAATATGTTGTAGGCACATAGGAGAAAAAGATTCATTCAGAGATAAAGACAGATTTAGTTTTTTCCATGGGTTTCATTTGGAAAACTAGACTAGGGGAGTTTAAGAGGAAGAGAGGAATTAAGAAAATTAAGGTCAAGATAGGAGGAATTGTTTTTGTGCTGAGCATTTTGAAGGAATTGTGAATGTATCTCTACCC